GAACATCATCGTCATTTTCCTAACGAGCACCATCATCATCACCATCATCATCACCGCCATCACCCTAACCATCAAAATCACCATCATAGTGTTCATCAGCCTCGTCATCACAACCACGGCTTCCACCACCACAATGATCGCAACAGCATCATCATCATCGTCATCGGCATCATCATGATCATAAGCATCATCATCATCATCATCATCATCGGCAGCGTCATCATCATCATCATCATCATCATCATCATCATCATCATCGTCACCGTGATTGTCGTCTTCAAAATCAGCACCACCACCATCGTCGTCATCGTGATCGTGATCGTGAATCGGCAAAACCCTCATCATCAGCTTCATCATCATCACTATCATCATCACTATCATCATCATCATCATCATCATCAGCATCAGCATCATCATCATCATCATCATCATCATCATCATCATCATCTCCCTCCTCCTCCTCCTACTCCTCCTCCTCCTACTTCTCCTCCTCCTCCTCCTCCTCCTCCTCCTCCTCCTCATCATCATCATCATCATCATCATCATCATAATTATTATTATTATCATTATTATTATCACCACCATCATCCGCGTCATCGTCGTCGTCCGAATCTGCCTCCTACGCCACCTTCTCCCAACTCTTTGTTCAGCCTCCCCGCTCAACCTCCCCTTCGTCCTCTCTTCTCTTCTCTCCCCCTCTTCCGCCACCCACGACCACCTCCATGGCCGGGGTTTCCGACGACCTGGGGTCAGAGCAGAGAGACGATGCGCGCGATCGCCGCGTGAGCCTCCAGCGTGAGCGTGCTGGCCCTGGACTCCACCTCGAAGGTCATGACGGGGGAGTTCCAGCGAGGGTCGGAGTCCTGACTCGTCGCATCGGGAGGACGTACGGCTCATGAGCATTATCAGATTCGTGTTTATCCCTGTCTTGTGTCTGCTCTGCTTCTGCGCGTCTCCGATCAAGCCGTCGAACAAAAACTGTTCGGCTTCAAACGCTCGATGATGCCAGTTCGCGAGCGGCACCACATGTGTTGGCACCTGGACTGCTGCAAATTCCCAAGCAGCGCTTGCACTGAGCAGTTGTCCGGATCTATGGGGTTCGCCCGTCGGGCGCCCGCGAGCGTTCAAGGGTGCCTCGTGTGGGTGGCTATGCTGTTGTGGATGCCACGACAATGGACACCGTAACAGTCCTATCATTGAATTGTAAATGTGTTTGAAATGTCGGAAAAATGTTCGAACCATGTTTAAAACATGTTGAATGCATGTTTTAGACATATGGAAACAAGTTGGCAACATGCTTCCTCTCCATTGATCGTCCTCCAAAACTCTGCTGGATTTTGCCCAGTGGGCGCTTTGTGGGTGCCGCGTGCTCTGGCTAGCGCTTCCACCACTGTCACTACGCGTACGATCCTCTGGTTGAAACGGCCCCGCCACATACAGCACTGCACAGCGCCACCATGTCGAAGTCGAAACGGATCCGCTCCCGTGTCAGGTACACAATCCTGCTAGTTTTCATGCCGCGCTGGCTCCCCAATCTCTGGTTATACCACGGGGTTCCTGCTTGCCTTGCGAACCACTGGGTGGATCCCACGGGTTCTCGCCCCGTGCGCTGGCTGGGTGTTCCGGGTGTCCGCACGAGGCCCGCCCGTGGGTGTCTCGTGGGCGCCAAGTGCGCGCGCGGGGCTCTCCATCGTTTCGCCTGGTGCCCAGTCGCAGTCGCCTTGCCTCGTGCACTGGCTGGGCTCCAGGTGTTTGGCCAGTGCCCAGCCGCAGGCTCCTCGTGAGCGCCTCGTGCGCCGGATGGCGCTCCCCGATGCACGCGTAGACTGCGCCGCATACTTTGCACCACATCGCTCGCAGCCCACAGATTACGCGGTATACGCACATGCCAACATACAGTCATACATTGCAACACATGAATTGCGTAAGATAACTCGCACCACACGGACTGCAACACATATAATGCACCAGAAGCAGGCGACACAAAGCTTGCACCACAAAGATTGCGCCAACTTGCTGGCACCACATAGATGATCCTTTTTGGAATAAACACTCGGATCTACCACCCCGAACCTCCAGGTTTATCAACCCTCCCGGGGATATAAGACTGACGATATTCATATGACCATGCCCCATCGTGCATTTTACATATGATTTCACGTCATCGCAACCAGACCCTTTTTTATCATCCCCCCACCTCATCCTTGACGAATGAAAATAACAGCGCACACTCGTTTACCACAAATCAACCATGTTCAACCATCCCTGCTTAGAGATTTGACAATCAACACGCGCGCATCGTCGCGCGCACACGCCGAAATTCACAATTGATCCCCCCAAAGAGAACAAATTATTGAAACAACCCGGGCTGCGGAACCGAATATTCAAAACAGCCTGCGCGTTTTTTTTGCGAATGTATGAATGTGTTTATGAATGTACATTTACACATATATTTATGATGAATATCAACACATACATACATACATACATACATACAGGCAGACATACATACATACATACATACATACAACCAAACACACATATATACATACACGTACATCAAAAATGTTTGTTGTCTTTTGTAACCTGTTCATCACATGCGACCGACCGGATTTGTCGCGCGCGCATGTCGAAATTGTTCGGAAGCCCTCTCGCGCGCGAAAGGCGGGGCACGATCCCTGTCAAATAACACCAAACGGGCCACTCGCGACCGTCGGCCGCACCCGCATGTCAGAATCGCTCCACAATCTTCATCACCGACACGTGGAAACCATCACCGTCATCGGCGTGATCAACTTCTGCGCCGTCGCTGACCTTGCCGTCGTTATCGTCATCATCGTCACCACCATCGTTCTTATCATTGTGTATGCCGTTGCCAAAGTCACTATGGTACCGCGCCCGCCCGGGCCACCGATTCGCATAAGATAACCCGCGCGCCACCGCGGCCTGCGCGACGCGCTGGGGAGGCCCCAACGGGCAACGCCACCGCGGCTGCGTCGGATTTGCCGGAGTAGCTGGTCATTCTGCGCGCGAGCCTGCGCGCGCTAGCGCGGCCGCACCGATGCGCCAGTCAACGCCAATCAATCATCGCAATCGCAACCGCAAAGTTTTGCAAACCAACGTTCGGGCGGGTGGGCGGGATGGTCGCGAATACTGGAGTTGAGAATTCAATGATGAACATGTGTGAGTTCGCATTTCGACCGTAAAAGGATTGGATATACCCCCCTGTTTATCGATCTGGCCTGGGGATAGATGTGTGCAAGTAACAAACGATTCCACCACACCCGTGACTCTAAAATGAGCCCCGATCATACCAGCCAAGCTGAATTCGACACCGCCACCACCCTAGTCAAATAATGGTATGCGCGCGCACTCGTTCATAAAGATCATACAAAATCCAACCGAGGAAGAAAAACAAACGAAACAACAACAACACGAAATGTACACGTGCGCGTTGTCGCTCGCGCATGTCGATGTCGCACAATAATCGTAAGTGACGCAAGGGCTTCAAATCCGAGCGGCCCGAAAACATTCGAACACACGGTAGCTTTGCAACCAGGATTTCTCTTTACGGGAAACGGTGCACGCGATCTTGCGATTTCTTACGACAGACCGACGGTGCCTCATCAGGTTCATCACATGCGACCACGCGGGCCTCTCGCGCGCGCATGCCGAAATCATTCGAAGGTCTTTGCGCGCGTTTTTAAGCACGAGCCCTATCATATACTATCATGCGGGCCACTCGCGGCCGTCGGCCGTGCGCACAGATCGAAATCGTTCCAAAATCTTCATGACCGAAACGCGGACACCGTCAAAGTCACCGGCGTGATGAGCACCAGCGCCATCATTGGCCTTGCCATCGTCGCCACCTGCATCGATACTATCACAATCGTGCTTGCCGTTGTCGACATCTACATGATACCGCGCCCGCCCGCACCACCGACTCGCACTGAAATGCCCGCGCGCCAGCGCGGCCTGCGAGACGCGTTGGGCAGTCCCCAACGGTCAGCGCCACCGAGGACGCGTCGGCAGCGCCAGACTAGCTGGCCGTTCTGCGCGTGAGCCTGCGCGCGCTAGCGGACCGCAGCGATGCGCCAGCCAACGCCAAGCAGTCATCTCAATCGCCGCCGCACGGGTTTTGCAAAACTGCGGGCGGGTGGGTGGGATGTTTGCTCGGACAGTGGAACTGCGAACTGAAAGTTCGGGGGGGCGAAAGAACCACATAGGTTGCACAAGATGAATTTTCAGCACCTTGGTTGCACCATGCACAGAGTGCTCCCCGAAAGCTGCACATCGACAATCGAAGAGTCCACTGCTGGGGGCCCACGCTGGCAAACAGGCTTCTTTTGAACGGAATCCGGATTTTGCACGTTGAATGCAAACTCCCCTGCTAGCCAAGACGCGCCACACTGTCCGACCCAATGCCATGGATTCGCGGAACGAGAACTGGCGCCCTCCGTGCCACCAACCAAACCACCATCGCAAAATAAAAGTGTAAACCCCTGGCGCGCGACACCGACCAGCTGTTTGGTCGGCGGCCACTTGAGTCCAAGCAGCGGCGAGGCGACGGTGGGACGCAACGGAGCAACTTAAGGCGCGGACAGGCGTCTGGAAGGACGATAGGACGAGAGGAAGAGAAAGTGGGAGAGAGGCGGCACGCGGCGCGACACGGACCCACACACCGTGCCTCACTGCAGGCCGTTGACAGCAGCCCACTCGTGTCTCGACTGTGCAGTCCAACTGCAGATTGTACCTCTGTGCTCTCTCGGTCGGGAACCGACTTGACTCGAGCAGAGAGCCCTCGGCTCGAACAAAGATGCCTCGCATGTCGAATACGATGTGAGCTCAAAACAACTTGTATGATGAGGTTTAGATTGAGGCTTCCGCGTGCGCCAGGGACGCCACGATCAGAAACCCCATCACGGATTCGGACCGGCTGCATGTCCACAGTCAGTTGCAACTCGCGACGCCGAGCAGATTGTCGCGCCCACCACCTGCACCAAACACCGAAGATTCTCAATCCCACCGTACTCGGAAATGAAGCTCTGAGCTGGCTGACCCGTTCCCTGAGAGCACACCCAGTTTCAGTACGCCCCGTCCCTGAGAGCGGCGGCGACGTGAAGGTAGATCCCTCCGTGTCGCGAGCATCTACGGGCGCTGGCGTCGTCATCCCGACACGTGTGACAACCCCTGGATCCAGACTGTCTAAAACTTCCCCGGAAGACATCACCTAACGAAACGACTGCAAAGAGAAGCTCCAAGGAAGTGCACCTAGACAAGGTGACTCTGAATGCGCTCTGTCTCGGCCACGTCAGGCAAGAATGTAGAGCGGGCCTATTGTTGACAGGAATGCCTTCGAAGCTGTCGAGGGCCTTACATACCGCTCTCTCGCTGGGGCCGCACCCCAAGAGAAGGGGGGAGGGGGGCAGGGGGGAGGAAACGGAGGGGAGTAACGATGTGATCCAGGAGGAAGGAGGGGAGGAGCAGGAGAGCCTGGCGACGCTGCGGGGATCAAGCTTGGTGCGAGCTCGATGTGCAAGCACGAGAGAAGACAGGGGACGGGAGGAAGTGGAGCAGGATGCGTGGGCGGTGGGCGAAGCGTCCGCGCTCACCGTGGCTGTGAGCTGCTCCTTGCTGCCAACCTTCACCTGCCCGCCGCCAGCAAAGGCCGCTCGCCCCCTCCGCCATCTCTGCCTCCTCCCCCTCCTCATATTCCTCCCTTCCCTTTTCCGTATCACTAAGTCCTCTCTGTCACACCCCCAGGCGTGTTAGTATGGCAGGCAAGGCGTTTCGCCCGAGACTTCCTCACCATGTACGATCCTGAAGCTTGATTGCAACAACTTCACGAATGGACGGCGGCCCGATTTCACAATGTGGCTCTCGCCTCAGCACCGCGCACCCTCGCCTTCACAGTCTGCAGCAGCTGTAAGGATGGAGGACATGTAGTTTTAAACATGTGGCTTTCGTCTTGGCGCCGCGTGCATTCGTCTTCAAGTCTGTAACAGTTTCAAAGATGACGGGCGGGTCGAATTCAAAATTTGGCTCTCGGCTTAGCGATTCGTCTTAACAGACTGCAAAAGCTTCAAGGATGGAGGACAGGTGGCATTCAAAATGTAGTTCTCGCCTTAGCGCTACGCACATTCGCCTCAACAATATGTAACACTTGTAAGGATGGAGGTCACGTGGTTTTCGCCATGTGTCTTTCACCCTGGGGCCGCGTACATCCGTATTCAGGTTTGCAACATAATCAAGGGTGGAGGCCTGCTCCTTTTTCGAAATGTGGTTTTCGCTTGAGCGCAGCGCACACTCGCCGTCAATTTTGCGACAAGTTCAAGGAGTCGTATGGTTGAAGTCCCAAGAGCGGCCTCCTGGCACGATTCAGGAAGTATGGACGCAACAGTCACGTTGATCCGCAGCGCTGAAGTCCCAGGTTGTCATCTAGTGGGCCACTTCCCGCATTGAAAACAAATGCTTGCGGGGACCACTGGACAGGGAACTTGGGAGGGAGGGTTCATTGCAGCATCGATGCTGCGTCTTGGATTTACTCTGATCCTCGCCCTCCTCCATCTCCTTCTCCTGCACCTCCCTGGCTCTCGGCCTACGAGCTCGGCTCTCCTGCGGCACCTCGGGACGGTCCGGGCAACCCCTGGAACGCCCCCTGCGAGGCGCAGCTGCCAGGAGACCACCCCGAGGCCGCGAGAAGCCGCCGAGCGCCGACGAGACCGCCCGAAGACCTCGAGCAACCCAGCCACCCGGCTGCTCCAATTATTCGGTGGCGTGGGCCCTGGAAGTCCGGACCACCTCCCCGGGGCCGGCTTTCCGTCCAGTCGTTTCCTGCCGCTCCCGAGGCCAGGCCATGGCCCCCCGAGGCCGAAGGCGGCCAGAGCCCGCCTGCCCCAGCTGTTGCGGAGCGTCGGATCTCTGGGACCGAGCCTCGACGAGCCAGCGCACCTCGACGAGCCAGAGCACCGAACCTCGAACCTCGACGAGCCAGAGCAGAGACTCAAGGAGGAGCAGGAGGAGGATGAGGAGGAGGAGGAGGAGGAGGAGGAGGAGGAGGAGGAGGAGGAGGAGGGGGAGGAGGAGGAGGAGGAGGAGGAGGAGGAGGAGGAGGAGGAGGAGGAGGAGGAGGAGGAGGAGGACACGCTAGGTGCGCTCGCGTCATATATGATACCCTACCCCTCCCCCCCATCCCTTACCATGGCGCAGATCCCCTCTCTACTTGCACAGTCGGATGTCAAGCACGGCGATGATCCCGAAAAGGTACGCGATGCATTGTAGAGCACGGCGTACCATGGCGTAGAAGAGCACCGCGAAGCGTAGTATAAACCTATAGCATTGCACTGCATGCCGTGGCATGGCACGGGAAATGACGCCAGCGCTGCAGCGGGAGCACGAATCGAAACGAGCTGAAGCGCGGAAATGAGGCCGGCGGCCAGCGCTGCAGCAAGAGCACGATTCGGAACGAGCGGAGACACGCCGGAATCGGCCCGGGAAGCACGGAAAATGAGGCCAGCGCTGCAGCGAGGGCACGATTCGGAACGAGCGGGGCCCGAAAATGAGGCTGGCGCCTCAGCGAGAGCAGCATTTTGGCAAAAATGCAAGCGAACACATAACTTCGGGGAAGGCTTCCAAAAGCAGAAATTCAGCATTTTCACAAGAAAAATGTGTATCAGAATGGCCTTTTTTCGGCGCCGCCTCGGAACTCGATTTTCCGGCGCTGGCCGGAACCGGCTCCGGACCCGGCCCGGGCGCCGGCCCAGGCGCGCCGGCTCAGGCGTCTGTGCCCGGGCGCCGGTTCGGGCGCTGGCCTGGGCGTCGGAATCGGCCTGGGAGGCCTCCCGGGCGCCGGAAGAAGAAATTCAGCATTTTCAAAAGAAAAATGTGCATTGGAATGGCCTTTTTTCGGCGCCGCCTCGGAATTCGATGTTCCGGCGCCGGCCGGAACCGGCTCCGGACCCGGCCCGGGCGCCGGCCCGGGCGCCGGCTCGGGCGTGCAGCCCGGGCGCCGGCGGAAATGATGCCAGCGCTGCAGCGGGAGCACGATTCGGAACGAGCGGGGCCCGAAAATGAGGCCGGCGCCTCGGCGAGAGCAGCATTTTGGAAAAAATGCAGGCGAAAACCCAACTCCAGGGAAACCTGCGTGCAAAAAAACAGCACGCGGGGGGGGGGGCGACTATTCGCAAGACGTCATCAAGGGAAGAGGGAGAATAGTATTCATATTCAATAACTGTGGAGGAGGAGGAGGAGGAAGAGGAGGAAGAGGAGGAGGTGAAAGAGTGAAGAGGAGGAGGAGCGAGGAGGAGGAGGAGGAGGCGGAGGAGGAGGAGTGGGGGAGGAGGAGGGGGAGGAGGAGGAGGAGGGGGAGGAGGCGGAGGAGGAGGAGGAGGAGGAGGAGGAGGAGGAGAGGAGGAGGAGGAGGGGGGGGAGGAAGGGGGAGGAGGAGGAGGAGGAGGAGGAGGAGGAGGAAGAGGAGGGAGGAGGAGGAGGAGGAGGAGGAGGATGAGGAGGAGGAGGAGGAGGAGGAGGATGCGGAGGAGGAGGAGGAGGAGGAGGAGGAGGAGGAGGAGGGAGGAGGAGGAGGAGGAGGAGGAGGGGGGAGGAGGACAAGGCGGAGGAGGAGGAGGAGGAGAGGAGGCGGAGGTAGGAGGATGGTAGGAGGAACGCGGGGCCGCCGCGCCGCGTCCAGCTGCAGGGGCAACTGGCCGCGGCGGGGCGCCTGAATTCATAGCGCGAGGAGCACCACGAGGAGGCGGAAGGTGAAGACGCAGGGCTCGACGAAGAGGGAGCCCACGAAGCCGTCGGAGACGTAGTGCACAATGGTACTACCATCCCAGACTTGCGACAGAGCGCGTCATGGGCGGTCCTCGCTGCATGGCCAGATATCCCAGCATCCTCGGCGGGAGGGCCTGCAGGTAGGGACGGCAGGCTGTCCCTACCTGCACATCGCGCGGCCATCCACCCCCGCGGGTTGCGAAACTACGAGGGGGCGGCGAGCGCGAGGTGCAAGTCCACGTTCGACCCGTTTGACCGCGTCAAGCTGGTTCCTTCGCGCGGCAGCATTGCAAGAAAGACCAGCGCAGGAAGTGCCCAGCTCGCGCACAGCGCAGACCTCCCCAATGGAGCAGTGCGCGCCACACCGGCGACAGCAGTTAACTTGGTTGTTCAGGAACACGTCGTGACCCAAGTCTGCAGACACCGCTGCCGCGTTCTCAGCCATGGGCTGGGCGGGCCAGGAATCCTGCCGAGGAGCTGTCGGCCGTCCTTCGCTCGCCAACGCAGCCCCCTGCAGCAACGCAAGCACGTTGGTCACCATATAATGTCCAATCTTCGCCACAGCTGCGAAAGCACTCAGCGTTGAGGGCGCGCGCCACACGCGACGGCCGACGTTCACGACGAGAGCCTGTCTGCAGAGGGTCTAACGAGGCACCCGTAGTGGCCGTGACACCGCAGTGGACGCATCGATACCTGCCTAACGAAATCGCAACGGGCACGGCATGCTCGCCTGGTGGCCGCGGAACCTCCACATCACGCCCCCAGGCCTCACGGGCAACAGCCTGCAGCGCGGCCCAGGAGACAAACTGTAAAACCTTACGGTGCTGTCCTAGAGCAGCAGCGACGGCTTCCGCCATGGAGCCAGCCAGCGCATGGGAGGCGGCTCCACGGCGAGCGAAGTAGTCTGCCCACCCGTTGCCAATCCAGTCTCGCAACTCATAGGGGTCGGCACCAATGAGAACATCCCAAGACCTGCGGGCTGGCGCCCACCTGAACGTCGGAAGGCGGCATTGGGTCCGTCGTCGGCAAGCCTCGAAGATGCCCCGCCAGGCGCGGGCATGCTTGGCCCGCCCCTGCGCGAACTCAGGACACCAGCGTTCGCCTTCCTGCGCCAGCGCCAGCAGGTCCGTCACGAAGCACTGGTGATTAGGAAAGGCCTCAAGTCCCTCTCTGATGGCATACCGCTCAACGCGTCCAACAGTCTGCACCAAATCCGCCGATCCGGCGCGTGAGTTTCAAGGAGTCTCAGCTACAGCCTCGAGGCTGAGCCCCAGCCTCTGGGTGGGTTGCCCGGGCGGCTCTGACGGGGAAGGGGGGGCGGGGGGGGGGAAGGGGCAGTTTTCCGGCGGTCGCGGGGGGCTGCTTTTACAGAAGGCTCTAATCTCGAGGATGCGCTGCAAGGGTGGCCGCGGCCGCAAAAGTCTCTGAGGACGGTCTAAGAAAATCCCGAGACCCCGAAAGATCGCCCGAACACGCCAAAGATGGCCCCACGACGGCACAAGAGCCTTCCAAGACGTCTGAAGGCCTCCAAGAGGCCTCCCACGAGGGCCCCCGGAGGCACAAATCGTTGATTTCCATTGGTTTTTGTTCAATGTTTCTGGGGTTGTCGCATCTTTTTTTCCTGCTTCCAGACGCTCCAAGACGGCCCAAGAGGCCCCCAAGACCGCTCGAAAACGGCCCAGGAGGCCCCCAGACAGTCCCAAGACGGCACAAGAGGGCCCCGAGGCGGCCCAAGAGCCGCCCAAGACGGCCCAAGACGGCCCCCAAGACGGCCCCAACAGGACCCAAAAGAGGGACGAAAAACTGCAAAATCTAGCCTTCCAGCCCACGAGGCCCCCAGGAGGCCCCAAGAGGCCCCAAGGGGGCCCCCCAAAGCCCCCAAGAAGCCCCCACGACGCCCTGACAGCCCTCTAAGATGGCGCAAAAAACGCCCCAAGAGGGCGCCCTTGCGCCGATAGGCTCGCCCCCACCGCTCGCACCACATCGTCCACGCCACATGTTTCGTAACAAGACTCCGCGCAAGACGTATCGTGAGTTTCCAAAGTGATCGGCATCCTCTATGGAATTTTCATGTCATTATTATTTCCCGCCCCCACGATCACTGCAGGCGCCCCGCCGTTGATAGAACCACTGTTGCGAGATGGCTCTATGGACCCAACTGCATTCCTACGCCCTTTCGAAGGTAACCCGAGAATTTTCACCAAGCCAGCGCAAATAACTCGCGGGCGGTCGGCTACGAAATGATATTTCATGAGCCCGTGTTTGCACAAATCTGGCTTCGAATGCCTGTGCGTGCTAGTGTCTGGCGTGCGCCTAATGTGTCTCTGTATGTGTGTCTGCCGCATGCGAATTTGGTCGCGTGCGTGCGTGAGGTGTCCGCGTAATATGTGTATCCGCTCGGCGTGCGCGCGCGTGCGTTTCCTAACTGGTATGTGTATGGGTGGTGGTGTGTGTGCATGTCTGCGGCGCGGATTAGGTGGTGTGACTGTGTGTGTGTGCGTTTGAGTGTGCGCCCATAATGTCTGCGTCTGGAGAATAACACCGAGCGACCCGGATCGGCGGCACTGGCCGAAGGCCACTACAATACGGAAGAGGCCCATATCGCGCGCGAGCTGGAAGCCACGAGCACCCCGGCCTGCCCACATCTTCGGGCCTCAGGGACGACCGAGTCATACCCCGACCCGTCCGTGTCAGGGACTGGGCTCCAAACACCATGGGCGTCGCCCCAAGGATACACTTCCCTGCTCGGTGTACTGCTCCGCGGCACGTACGCAGGCGGCTCAGGAATGCCAGATATGAAATAAGACTGCTCGCAGTTCGGCATTCCTGACCCTAGCCCAGACTGTATGAGCTGGTCACGCACCTCCGCTAAGGCCTGCGGGAGGTGGAGGATGCCACGCCTGTCACTCGGAGATAATGCAGGCCCCGAATCTGCCTCATCAGCCAGAGGGCCATTCTGCACGGGGCATGTGGCCCGGCCAGGCGTCACGTTCGCAACACTCGGCATCTCCTGCGACCCCTGCTCAAAAACGTCCTCCTCTGCGTGGGGTGGGACATCAAGCACGGGCTCCTCCGTCTCCTGCCCGACCACGGGGAAAAAGTCTTCCACGTCCTCCGTCGTACTGCGCCGTGGGTAACCAGAAGCAGGGGGAGGTTCAGCACATCGACCAGGCTCAGGGACATGGTCCTTCGCCTCAGACAAGGCAATGGGCATCTGCGAACCAGCCGCCGTAAGGCCTGGGACATGGTCCTCTGGCTCATCCGTCGTAAGCTGTGTTGGTGGGGACTGCACAGTAAGGCCATGGGCCCGGTCTGTTAAACCTTGTGCGCGAGCCAGGGATTCACTCGCAGGCAGGCGAGTCATGAGCGCAGGACATTCCAAGAAAACATGACCCCATCCCTCGTCCGATGTCAGGGCCTTACCACAGGCATGGCACGGCCGCATAACCCTGCCGAATTGCATGTCCCGACGAAAGGGCGTAGGAATTTTCTCCGCCCATAGCGCCTGAAGCGCCCCGAGCTGCCGGGCGCGTCTGACGCCCTTGATGGCGTGCCGAAGGCCTCGGTGCCAGATAGGTGCTCCCGCGTGCGAGTACATGTGACTGGTCAGCCTGTCGTGCTGCCATCGCTGTACCCCAAGGGAGGAGGAGGAGGAGGAGGAGGAGGAGGAGGAGGGGGAGGAGGAGGAGGCGGAGGAGGAGAAGCAGGAGGAGGCGGAGGAGGAGAAGCAGGAGGAGGAGGAGGCGGAGGAGGAGGAGGCGGGGGAGGAGGAGGCGGAGGAGGAGGAGGAGGAAGAGGGGGAGAAGGAGGAGGGGGAGGAGGCGGAGGAGGAGGGAGGAAAAGATCAAAACATAGCCAAAGGAGCACGAAAAATCGTCAGCACACTGTTCGTTCACCATTCCTAGATACTCCTCCTGTAGACGGACAAGGGTGATGGGATGGTGGGTATCGGGATTCGAGTTGGGGGTCGACTACAGAATTGATTTACCCTAGAATTGAACTGTTTTTTATCGGATCTGCGGAAAATGCGTAGAATTTTCCGCCGTAGACCAATGGAGCATTATACGTACTCCTCGTAGGTTCGACGGAAAAAATGGGGTAAGTCAATTCTGTAGTCGAAGCAATAATCGAGAGATGGAGAAATGGGGACGGGTGATGGACCCACAGCGGGAACATTGTCATGAGAGCGCAAGTCCGAGAACATACTTCGCCGAAGGCCTGGCCCAACGAAGGCACCCGGGGCGAAGAGCGCTCGCCGGTGGAGAGCCCAAGCAAGGAGAGCATAGAGCGAGGAGGAGGAAGAGCGAGGAGGAAGAGTGAGGAGGAGGAGGAGGAGGAGCAGAGAAGCAAAAGGAGGCGGAGGAGGAGGAGGAGGAAGAGTGAGGAGGAGAAAGAGTGAGGAAGAGAAAGAGTAAGGAGGACGAAGAGTGAGGAAGAGGACGAGTGAGGAGGAGGAGGAGGAGGAGGAGGAGGAGGAGGAGGGAGAGTGAGGAGGAGGAGGAGGAGGAGGAGGGAGAGTGAGGAGGAGAAGGGAGAGTGAGGAGGAGGAGGAGGAGGAGGAGGAGGAGGAGGAGGAGGAGGAAGAGTGAGGAGGAGGAGGAGGAGGAGGAGGAGGAGGAGGAGGAGGAGGAGGAGGAGGAGGAGGAGGAGGAGGAGGGGGGGGAAGGAGGCGTGTGCTCTTCGGCGCTGCGGTCGCCCGCCTTCACGCACGAGCTCGGCTTCCCGCGCAGGCCCGACATCGCGTCGTACCGGAGGCCGGCGGCTCCGTTGATCCACACCCTGCGCGGGGGGCGGGGGCCCGAGGGGGGCGGCGAGGCAGAGGGGGCGGGGGCAGCGCAAAGAGGCGGGGATGAGAGGCAGGCAGACAGACAGACAGGCAGGAAGGCAGGCAGGTAGGCAGACAGACATAAAGAGAGAGGGGAAAACAACAAAAAAGCAAACAACGAGAAAAACACAGCACATCAAAAAATGAGCCAAAATTGAACAAAATTAAAACCACAACAGCAACAACAACAACAACAACAACAACAACAACAACAACAACAACAACAATCATTTTACCCGAACGCTCAGTGTTCTCACCAGTGCCAGGGTTTTCATGCGACGCGAGACAATACCCCCACTTCGTGGGGGGGCAGTTCAAGCTCTACCAAATATCCAAACGACTCTTCGCGACCACCCAAACCCAGCTTCCCGCCCTATGACGTTGGGACACTTCACTTCGTGGCGTGCGGACGACCGTGGCTACTACACTGGCGTGGGGTACACACCCACAGAACTTGGTCACTTATTCGGGGCGCGCGTGTGCCCAGCATCCTGCAATTGTGACATACAATACATGACACAGACAGACAGAGAGAGAGACAGAGAGCAGACAGAGAGAGAGACAGAGAGAGCGGAGTTGGTCACATTTTTGGGGCAAGTTCCTGAGATCGTCGTGTTTTTTGTTGGTCTTGCGCGCGCGAATGTCCACTTTACTTTTTTTTGCAAGGGAATATTGATTATGTTAGAACAAGAAAAAGTAGCTCGCGCGAGCTCATGTAACATAAATGTTGAAAAACCATTGGTTTTGTGGGAGTCGGACAGCGCGCGCGGGATGAAATTTGGACATTTTTTTTTGAAAAACCATTGGGTTTTTGATGTTTTTATGTTGAAATCGTTACGAAACCTAAGGTTCTGGAAGGATTTCGTCTTGCGCGCGCGAATGTCCACTTTACCTTATTTTTTGCAAGGGATTATTGAAATTTGATTATGTTAGAACAAGAAAAAGTAGCTCGCGCGAGCTCATGTAACATAAATGTTGAAAACCCATTGGTTTTGTGGGATTCGGACAGCGCGCGCGGAAGGACATTTTGACAATTTTTTCTTAAAAAACCATTGGGTTTTTGATGTTTTTATGTTAAAATCGCTACGAAACCTAAGGTTTTGGAAGGATTTCGTCTTGCGCGCACGAATGTCCACTTTACCTTATTTTTTGCAAGGGATTCTTGCAATTTGATCAAGTAAGAACAAGAATTTTCATTTTATAGTGTTTTTTGCAAGGGAAAACGGAGTACAACAAAAAACCGGATCCGGTAACAATCCACTTTTCTGAAGCTTTCGCGAAAAAATGATGAAAATGTAGCTGCGGCCTAGGCGCGGCGCAGAGGTCGCGCACCAGGGGTCCCAACAATAATTATTCTTAAGAAGAAATAATGTTCAACAACCACAACCACAACAGCAACA